AAATTTAGGGTTTCAGAATATTATTAATAAAGTTTCTTTAATAAAATACGTCTCTAATTAATTTTTTTTAAAAGATATGCATCAAATCAACAAGAGTCAAATAATATAAAACAAAAAATATATTCATCAAACACACTAATTACTCAAAAAAAAACTTATAAATTAGTTTGACCAACTTATAAATTCTAAACTTGATCAAACACCCTTTTTAAGAACTGCTTTACATAAAATTAGATAATATAATTTTTCTACCCAAAAAAAAAGATAATACAATTTGTGGATACTCCCTAACTAACACATACCTAAACACTTTTCGATAATTTTTAAAAATAATTTATTACTGTATAAGTGTAGTATAAATTTCATAGGTTTTTACTCAAATTTTATGTATCACTAATTGGACATTTTCTAGCGGTGAAACACTCTTAAAAGGACTATTTTAAACGTACCCAATACATAAAAGACCAATATATGTTTTTATTTATTTTTTGTTGTGAAATAAAGTACTCTCATTAGCTAATATATTTTTAATACTCTATTAAAAATATTAAGACAACATAAAGAGGAAAGAGCATGTGGGTACGTAGTGATAGGCCTGCAAATAAAAAGTGCATGGTCAGTTAATTAGACTCTTTTTGCCTCTTAAAGTGTAGAACAAAGTCAAATTAAAACAATATAGGCATATTCTTTGTGTTAAGTTTGTCTATGTTTGACCATTAACAAAAGAAACAAATTAACTTTAGTTAAACATATATATTCATCCTCGACAAGGATGTTTAATTAACGTCGACCTTTTCATAACCCACTAGGAATTTTCTTTGTTTTCATAAAAGTAAAAATCTTGAATTTTTAAATTATTTTAGGTTGATTACAAGGAGACAACCAATCAAAAAAATATTAGCTTAATCATTTTTGAATTTAGTGTCGTAGACAGGGCTACTCCTTAATCATAAGTTTCGAATTTGCTCTATGTTGTGCATATCCAAAATAGTTAGACTCCCGCTCATCAAACACAGGATGTGACATCCAAAAAAAAAGAGTATTAGCTTCTTTTCGTGCTTTTGGTTTATTCACTCAGTGTCCAATATCACGTTAAAGCCTGTTTAAGTTCGAATACGCGTAGAAAAGTCTAAGCTTTCAAACAAATGCGAACTTCTGAATCAAAAGACATTTCAATTTGAGATATTTAATTAAGAATATAGTACCATTCCACCAGAATCTTTCATCGATCCACTTGGTAAATTAGTCATGAACAAATGTGAAGTAGGTGCCATATTATAGTAAATACAAAGACTAATTGTTGGGATTACATAGAGACCTCGGTAATTTCATATTTATATTTTGACTACTTCTCAAATAGTACATCTTTTTCAAAAGGTAGTATGAAACGTTGAAAACATTTGTATAAAATAATGTAAAATACAACTCCGTGACTACTAATTAAAGCTTTACAGCTGTTTTTATGGGGAAAAAATAGTTACGTAAGAAAATTTAATTTGACAAATTTTAACAAATGATTCAAAGAGTACTTACTACACATTCTTTAGGAACTTGTTGCAAATCTATCCAACTAACACGTAGATTCGAGATAAAATCGATATATATTTTATTTTGTCAGATTTCGTCACACTAAATATATTATTATTGTACGATAGATAATAATATAGGTGATAACATAAGTAATTGATTCTTATTCCTTTTTAGGAATGAAAAAGTGTAAGTATATAACAATATATATAGCGACATTGAATCGAATAACAATTGTCTTTGAGAATATGCATATATATTATTTTAATTTTTTTTTATAGTAATGTATATTATATTCAAAGTCTAAATATCAACGCAGATAAACTTGTTATGACAATTCTAGTGGTGTAAAATATTAAGATTGTAAAGTACGTAGTAATTCTTTTAATTTGGTTAACCTAATACAACATTAAGACAAATTAAGAGTAGTTAATTAATTACTTCCACGTTACAACAAACACCCCCTAAAGTCAAAACTATTCAGCAAGAAATTGGATATTTTATTAATACCCACAAAAATTGAAGTCCATAAAGAGGATAATCCGTGACTAATCTCACTTCCACAAGTTTATTTTAGGGAGATTGATTACAAAATTTTATTTTATGAAAAAATGTTTTCTTAAAAATTAATTTTTAGAAAAATAAAGTGAATTTTCAACTTATATATGTGTTCGATTGATAAAACAGAAAATAATATTTTAAAAATATTTACATCTAATTTAGTCAAATACTATTGAGAGGGCGTGAAAATTGTCAAAGGAACTCATTTTCCTTATTTGCAAAGAATAAATTGTTTTCTAGAATATTGATCAACCAACTACTAAAAGAAATAGTACTATTTTGTACTTAGTAACTATTTTTTAAGGATATTTTGATTGAATCCATAAGAAAAAAAAATATTAATATTTTAATGAAAAAGAAAACAGGAAATTTCCTACTATGTGAGTGATAAATTTATTTTTCGTTATATATTTTTTCAGTTAAATGATTCGATGAAAATGAGTGAAAAATTATATTATAATAGATTTTTTTTTAAAAAAAACTTTTTAAAAAATAAATCTGTTATTGTTGGTTTTCTTAAATATGTGACAAGATACTAACATAACACGTCAAGTCAATTACTATAGAAAGTAAATATATCTGTTTTAAAATAAAATGATATTTTTATTTTTTTCATCTCATTTCAAAATAAATAATATTTTACATAATAGAGAAGAATTAACTTTTTTTCTCCAAAATTAATATATGGAGTTTCATATCATTAAAGAGTCATTCATTTCTTCAAAATATCTAATCAAGGACAAAATAGTAAAACACTTTTCGACCTAGATTAGTGGAAAAAATCATCGATTTTGATAAAATAATATATTTTTGTACGACCCTTATAAAATATATAATCCCGTTATTATTATACAATAATATTTCTCTAAAATTACAAAAGAAAATAAATAAATTAAGACAATTTAATGAAATATTATTCAAGATTTTTTTTTCAGTTTTGGTTTAAATTTAAATCTACTTGAAATTATATTCTAACTTTGTTTATTGCATCCAAAAGATTCGATGTTGTCTTTTCGAACTACGTGTCAAGTGCTTTCCTATGCGTAACTTGTTTCGTAGTTACTGTATGTCTTGAACTTCAGGCTCTTCTCTGATAGCGTCTCTTGTTTCTTCTAAGCTTTTAACCTTTAAATTACATGTCTCATTTTCACATAGATAATTTAATAAAAGCTAGTGACATTCATTTTATTGTAGTAACCAAACTTATTAATCATTACCTTTAATTCATAAATATCGTTTTCCTGAAAGAATGCATTTAAATTCGTTAGACCGGAAATATAATAGAAAATTAATCTTCATTGAATTTCGAAAGCTATTTTTTCTTCTTCTATATTTTTGCAATAAATAGGTCCATGAAACAATGTTAGTCGACAATATATATATATATACACATATAAAGGAGGACAATATAGAGTCAAAGTCCGCGTAGACAATTTGTTTGATGAATTACGCGTCAATTAATTAGTTATAAGTTTGTATAACGTGTTGAAACACAAAAATCCAATTAGAAGAGGTTGGGTTGGAACAAATGGCCTATGGTCACACATTTATAATATGGTCACTTCACCTAATGCCCCCATCTGCCGCCCCTTCATATTTCTTCATTCCCCCACCTATGGATCACAATGTCTCCCCTACCCTTCAATTCATCAATCTAGATCTACCATACAAAAAATATTTGGTTCAATAATTCATATTCGAAATTTATTCATCTGACTAATATAATTCATATTTACTCATTTAACTAATATGATTCATATGACTAAGTAATTGATTCTAAGATGACCAATTACTGAACACCTTTTATCGAAAAATTATATTATGTATATAAAAAATTGTACGAATTATAAAAACAAGACATTATTTTTCATACTCATATATTAAGTATTGAATATCTTTAACGTAATTTTTGACTTCATTACTGATTTTAATTAATTTCGATTATTTTTTTTAGTGAGGTAGAGCTACTATGCTGCAAAAAAAAATGCATAGCTTTTGTGATTGAAGGAAAAAAATATGAAGTTATTTTTTTGATTTTTATTTATATGACATTTTTTTAGTAGTTTAATTTTTTTTAAAAAAAAGATATATTGAGTTTCCTTTCATTTTCGACTAGATCCGAGTTATGAAAATGAGAAAGGTATAAGATTCTCTCTACTTTCATTCAAGGGCTAGCTTAGAACTTATAGGGTTATTATTATTTTTTGAACAATAATAGTAAAAATCTAGTCTATGACTTAGAAAAAAGACTATCCTAAATAATACTTGAATAGACTTGTGTGGTTGAAGATCAATTTAGATTTGAGGTCAAATTAGTAATAATTTTATTATCATTATACTTTGTGCGTTGAATAAAGTCATGAAATTATTGAAAATAAAGACATTATTATCCGCACATTAATATGATTGATTCGAGATTCCTTTTACGTTGAAAATATCTTACCTCGAAATCTATAGTGTTATAGCCCCAAATCAAATTCCTCATTCGCATTCCTCAATATCAGGTTTTCACGTGTTGAGAATATTAGCACTAGCCTTAATCCACTTAAAAGATTTTAGCTTCATCTCATTTATTTTTATATTTAAAATAATTTAGTTAAAATTTTCATTTTTGTTATTATGAGTAAATAAGCCTAAATAAAAATAGTTGAATAGTAGTACTTAGTAAACAAGTTTGTCAAAGGTCGTGGCAACACCCCCACGCTTCTCTGCCCCAGTCCCCCAGACCCCTACCACACCTTTTTTTTTTTTATAATTTTTTTTCTTCGTTTTGTGGGTCCCACTCCTAACTTCTAATTCCCTCGTTTCTATCTTTCCAATCTATTTATAGACATCATCGAAACTCAAAAGAATATAGCAATAAAACTCCATATCATTATAAAACCTCACTTTACTCCAATTCATAATATTATCATTCGATTAATTATGGTAGTAGCAACTCCATCTCCCCTTATACGCCGCGGTAACAAGAAAAAAACCGCGGCGTTTGGGGTTCCGACAATTGACTTGTCGGATGACAAGTCTATTGCGTCCGAAATGATTGTGAAAGCATGTGAAGATTACGGTTTCTTTAAAGTTATAAATCACGGGGTTTCGAAGAAGGTGATCGCGAGAATGGAAAGGGAAGCCGCGGACTTCTTTTCGCGTCCCGTCTCTGAGAAGGGACGCGCTGGTCCCGCGGCTCCCTTTGGTTATGGTAGCAAGAACATTGGCTTCAATGGAGATAAAGGTGATCTTGAATATATTCTCTTGGAAGCAAATACACTTTCTCTTTCTCAACGAGCCAAAAACTTCTCTAATGACCCTTCTACTTTCAGGTAACGTCGCTTCTCTTCTAAATTTATGTGATATTATTTGAATCATATATAAAGTTGACAAGAATAATAGAAATATAACATATCAAGTAGATTGGAAGAGAGGAATCAATTTCATCTGTTTCTATTTAGTTGTCTATCATTTTAAGTTTCAATCCTCTAAAAAGAAATTAGATAACTTTACAATTTTATCCTTATTTATTTTTCTCTTAAAGTTTAAATTTTTCATAAACGAACATGAATTTATTTATTTGATTAATTAACATGAAATATTGATCAAATGTATTTGTTAAATAATAATATTTTTCACAAGGATGAGAAAATATTTAATATGAGTCTTGATAGTATGTTGGTGCTATTTATAGCACTTTATTTAGCTAGTTAGTTAGATATGTGCAAGTCCGTATTTGGCCTTACAAAAGTAGTTATCAGCTGAGGAGGAAGTGCATATAAATAAAAGTATATATTATAATTTATAACTATGTTTGTTTGTTCATTAATTCTTTAGCTAGTAGGTCCGGTCCACTAATTAATTCATTCCTGAAATTATGCTGGCCGGGTGAAATGAGACTTCCCTAGTATTATTAATGCATGTATAATAATTAGCTCTAATACTTTGTAAATGCCAGCTAGCCATTTCATTTTACAACTTCGTTTTATTTTTCCCTTAAGATAACTCACATTTCTGATTTGATTTTATAAAATTTTAATTCCATTATATATATATATATATATAGTCAGGTCATGGAGACAAAGTTCAATTTGTTTTTCTGATGACCCCACTAAAACAAAATCAAGTGGGGTATATTATATATAAGATTAGCAATTATATAATATCTGTAACGCATTAATGAATTTACTGTCGCATTCATATTGTTCTAATTCCCATATTCACGTAATTATAATACTTTAGTATTATACAATTTGGTCTCATTACATCATCAATTACGTGTAAGGAATATAAGATATCTAATCAAAATAAAGTATTACGCTCGATAAAATTTCATAACTAAATGATAAAAAATTCATATGTTAGACGATCATATATAGCTATGAATTAGTAAAATATGATAATAAAATTCATTTAGTTAGGTCCTAGCTACAAATTAGCTATTGATCTATTGAAAACAGATTAATTTATTATATATATAATAAATTTATTTATTAAGGATGAAACCTCGTTTTCAGAAGAAAAAGATAAGTTGTCTAGTATTAAAATATCTGACTTACCTAATACTTGGTAGCTGCTGAGTGTTGACCAACGAAAGGTCCTATTTGAGTTTTCTAAATAATTTCACAAAGTCAAATATATGTTTACACGTACGTGCATGGACCCCTTTAACCTTTTTTAGGTCAATTTGGATGAGAAAAACTTTTCAGATAATAGCATCACCAACCATAAACTATTTTTTCTTCTTCTGGAATTTTAATGTATATATCACCAAACAGTTGCACAATAATATATTTTTTTATGCGTTGACAAGCGTTACATATATAGTATTTAATTTAGTAGTAATTAACTACCGGTAAAGAGGATAAGTCAATGATAATAAAATACTAATAATGAACTAACCAATTTTCAACCATGTACCAAAAACAAGAAAAAGTCAGAAGTCTATTTTAAATGTTTTATTGTCACTATCTTTAATTAATATGCAATTTAATTAGTAGATTTAGTCTTATTTGGTCGGCATATATATCACTTAGACTTTTAGTACGGATTCATTAATAGTAGAATTTTTAGAATATGGTAATTATAGAAAAAAGAGTATCAAAGTGCAAATTAATCTCTATTTGTTGTCTTAATAATTTAACAAGTTCCAATCTAAGTGTATCATTCTGTATTATTTAAAGTTAAATTCTGAATCTGTTTCTGATATGATTGTAGCTCGGTGACAAATGATTACGTAAGTGCAGTTAGGAAGCTATCTTGTGATATTCTTGAATTGGTGGCTGAAGGTTTATGGATAGAAGACAATTCAATTTTCAGCAAGCTCATAAGTGATTCACACAATGACTCTTGTTTCAGAGTCAATCACTATCCACCATTTATCACACCTAATAATGATGATAATCAAGATGAACTAAACAATAATCATTGGGGCCTATCACCAAATCCATCAAAATCAAGAGTTGGATTTGGAGAACATACTGATCCACAAATACTAACAATCCTTCGATCAAATGACGTTAGTGGACTTCAAATATATACTCATGATGGATTTTGGATACCTGTTCCTCCTGATCCTAATGAGTTCTTCGTTTTCGTAGGGGACTCCTTTCAGGTTCGTATAAATATAAATATCAATAATCATTTTGAAATTTATCGAGACACTAATTATTATTTTCGATGCAGGCGTTGACGAATGGTAGATTTACCAGTGTAAGACATAGAGTGGTGTCAATAAATTCATGGAAAAGTAGAATGTCCATGATGTACTTTGCAGCTCCTGCTCTTGGCGCTTGGATAAGTGCTCCTCCTCAAATCAACAATATTACTAATATTTATAAGCCTTTCAAGTGGGGGGACTTTAAACAAATTGTGTATTCATTACGTCTGGCTGATAGTCGTCTTGACTATTTCAAGAATCATACCCAATGACGACTTGTTATTTATTAACTCGATCTATTTGCTCTCTTGTAGAGTATAACTTAGTACTGAGTAAAAAAAAAAAGATCTTTTTAGAGGGCCTTGGAGGTGTATGCATTATGCATGTGTAGTCTAGTTTTTCATTACATTGTTATAATTATCCATATTGTAAATCTTTTGTTCACGTTATAAGTGTATAAAAGTTAAAGTTAGTTTTTTATATAAATGATTTTGTTCCACTGGTTGTCCACTCTATTATGATAAATGGTGGCAAATTCGAAGTGTCATGAGTTCATATTTATACCTTGATATATTATTGAATCTTAACATATTATGGAAAGATAATTTTGTCTTTGCTTCAAATCCTAAGACAAGTAATTATAATAAGAGAAAATAAAATTAGTACCTTTGAAAGTTATTGTCAGATATATGTAGTAGCTCTTGTGGTTCAGTTTTGGTTAAAAATTGTATCAAAAAACTTTAAGCTGAAATTTGGGATCTTGTCTATATGTCCATTGTCAGGGGTCTCTGTGATATTGACAGTCACATTCTGTATTATGTCACACCTTAGATGAGTAGTACCTAGGAAATATATATGGTGCAAGATTGTGTGTTTGATATAAATGTTATATTTTTAGAAAAATAAATTGATTTCTTCTCTATTTTTTAAAAAAGTGTTCGATAGGTAAATTAAATTTTTTTTATGTATAATATAGAAAAATACGATGTGAGGTAGGTGTGGGTGGTAGGAAAGGAGACTAAAGGGGATTGAAGTGAAGATGAGATGCGTTGGAGGACAGAAATGTTTAAAATAATTTAAAATAATGTGGACGCTAGTTATGAAACTTGCTTTTCCTACTTACATTAGGAAAATTATTTTTTATAATTTTTTTCAAGAATTTTTTTTCTATTTTTTAACCGATCAAGCATAAAAATTTTTGAAAGCACATTCTAATTATTTAGTGTAGTATAGGACATAATTCCACTTTAGCTAGCTTTAATTTAATTGATTTTATCAAGTCACTTTAATTTTTATATCGCTTATAACCAAGCATTATAAAAACTTTGAATAAAATTTTCTTTTAAATGTCTGTTAATCCTTGCTATCCGACTTAAATACAAATACAATACTATCATAGAAGGACTACACTACACAAAGAAATGAAAAAATTGAAGCAAGAAGTTATACAATACGTAGTTCAATTGCGAAGCGATCATGTTAGCTAATATAATGAGTAAAAAACTTAACCTATATTATTTAATATCATACTAGAAAGTAGCTAGCTAAGGAACAAATTCTGTTAGCAAACTGAATGCATAGGGAAAACAAGAGTCCGGAGCCTAAGAGTGAAAAATGTTAACAAAAATTTTAAAATGGTATATGAAATTTCTTTTTAACTAAAACGGCAAAATTGCTCACGAAGTAGCGATTTTGTCCGTCGAAAAAAGCAAAATTGCTGTTGGCAGCGATTTGATTTTAAAAAATAAATAAAAAATTTAATTAAAAATCTCTGTCTTGACAGCTATTTGATTTTAAAAAAAAATTAATTTAAACTTTTTTTTAAAAAAAAGAAGCAAAAAATAATAATAATTTTTTTTAAAACTTGAGTAGCCGCCTTAGCAGTAATATATTAAAAAAATTATCTAAAAAATTTTTATTTTGAAAATCGCTCCTTTTAGGAGCGATTTTGTTTATTTTTTTTCTAAAAAAACAATCAGATTTAACAAATAGTTGCTATAGCATTGATTTTGCTTTTTTCAATGAACAAAATCGCTACTTCGTGAGCGATTTTGCCGTTTTAATTAAAAAGAAATTTCATATACCGTTTTTTAATTTTTGTTAACATTTTTCACCCTTTAGGCTTTTGACTCTGGAAAACAATAAGAGAACAAATATATTTTTTCACTCACGTTGTAATTGAGGCTGCCCATGAGGTTGTATGTCAATCTGTTGGAATGAAAATCAAGACATGACAAAGAGTGACACAAAATCTACACAAATGTCTGCAATTTTTTATCACTAAGAATGACAAAGTTGTGTATTTTGAGTTCATTTTCAATTTTTAGGTATCTTACGATAATCCACGTTTTGAAAGCTAATCATTTAGATACATGATAGTTTACTATATTGCAAATCTTATCAGATTTTGGACTTCGGATACATGTATTTGGGTTGTGAGTTAGGCCTAAGACCTAATTCAACAAAAATGATTAGATTTGATTTATTTTTAACTTGTGATCAAATCTATATATAGTGAGAGAATGCTAGTTATAAAATTTTCAAATTTAATCATGTAAATATTACTTCTGTTCCTTAATTGCATTATCTGTTTCTCTCTATAATCATGTCCTCCACTTTGGAGAACAACAAATGTTTTTTCCGTGATAACAATCAAAAGTTTCTAACTCTCATCTCTCAGCTCGTCGTCCTTCGTCTCTTAAGTTCAGGCCGCTGGCAATACGCTTCTCATTGGCCCGAGTTGTGCCTCCAAGGTCAGTGCTCATCGCGTCCCAACTCTCATGTTGAATACTTTAAATTGAATTAAACTAGTCATCCCTTCGGTCTCCATCAAATCTGAATTGTCATCTCATGTTATACAGCATTGAGGCCGGCCTAGCTGTTGTAATTTGTTCCACATAAAAATCATTTGGTAAATTAGAATGTATTGTAGTGTTGGTACATGTATAACTTGTTAAAATCTATTGATGTAATACCAAACATAAGGATACATTATTTGCTATTGCTATGGCCTATGAAGATTCATATACAGTTGATACATACATATACATCCTCATCCTTTGGATATTAGTGTGTTGTACTGTTACATTTGCTGCTGCTGGTAGGTGTTACTCTTAGTGTCTAATTAATAATGTGATGGAAATTAGCTTTAACTTGTTTGGTGTTATAAGTTATCGCAAAGCATATCGCCTAATTTGTTCAACTCCCATTGACTCATATATCTCATGTTATAAACCTGAATAATCCTACCCTGTTACTGTTTATCATTATAGCTTTGTATAATTTTTGAACTATATGTTTCGTATCATTTGTTATATATTTATATAGTATGATTTTTTTTCCGATGCAAGGTGGTTAACTGACCAATTTTTGCTACATCACTGGTCACAACTCACAAGAGTCTTATCTAATTGAAGTAGGTAAAGAAACTTAATTTTATGAATGTCCATATTCTTTTCGTGTTGCAAAATAAGTAGTTGAGGTTCAGATGATCCAACTCATGAATATGTTACATTTTATACTGCCACTTTCATTTTTCTTGGTACATACTCTGCTCTTCTTTTTCTCTGTTTCGGTCTTTTAACTCAGTAGCAAATTATAAAATGGCATCACTAGTGTTGCTGCTGGAAGCACTTATTAGATCTCGCGAGGACATCTATCTGCAAGGACCAGACGATGGGCTGCTTCTCGATGCTGAAGAAACTAGCGATAATAATGGTAACACCACTCGAAACAATTACTATTATTACTGTGGCTGTATAGTTGAAGCTGAGGATGTTCCTAGCTGGAACATTATATCTTAGTGTTGTATTTGTGCCCATACAAAGAAATCCTAGAAACAGGTGTATCTTTTACAATGTAACGCGATACGTATGCTTGTAATAAATTTGTTATTTGTCACAACCATAACAAGTAGAATGACGCGAAAGGGTGTACATAAGCAATAAAATTGATTATTGCAAGTTGTAACTAGTAGGGATGTATAAGCCAAGAATCGCCATCAACATAATAGGTGCCAATAAAAGGCATGGCCTCTTCATCGTTGAGAATTCGCGCCCACGGAACTCTTCCTGTAATGTTGGCTCCTGGTCCACTGCACCTGTACTCCCCATAATACACTCTCCTACAATCCATTTCTAATTTTCAACTTCATTTGCAAAACAATTTTGAAAAAAATCAGTAAAAAAAACCAAAAACACTTACGAGTCTCTAGTTGTTTTGCCCCAATCATTCCATCCTAGTGGAAGAACAATGTTGTCCATGTAAGTATACGAAAATATCACTCTAGAATAATCACCCCACGCCCTGCCTAAATAAACTGATCCTGTCCCTGTTATGGTGCTGTTCTTGAACGAAAATCCACTTAATATCGATGAATTTGTACGTTTCTGCGCTGTCAGGGACGCCACTTTCTTTGCTACGGAGTTCAACTGGCAGTTCTATCCACATGATATGAAAATGTAATTAGATTTCAAGACAATTGACAGTTCAGTACTGGCACAAAGCATTTCACGTTCAAACGATGATTTTTGTCTATATAAATTAATTTATTAAAATGCAACTGACCTCATATAGGGATCTACCATACCCAAAAATGAAATCAACAGAGCCTTGAATGAAACAATTGTTGAAATAGTGAAGTCCCTTATGATCATAAAGTGTGTCTTGGCTTCCATAGAAACTGCAATTGTAAAATGCTGCTTTGTTTCCTGATATTCTTAGTGCCACTGCTTGTTCTCCTGCGGTTCCAACCACATGGGGTGCTGTATTCTACAAAAAAAAAAAAAGATTCATAGTAATTTTAAAATTATATTTCATTTCTCTAAGATTCATATTAAAAAAAAGCGTTGATTTTAATTGAACTATTACTAACCTCATAAGTTTAATACTGCAAGATTTAAAGGACTATACATAGTTTTAATTTAAGATGATAAGATTGAAAAGTCTAATAATTAATCTACGTTCAGTCAAACTAAGGACGTTGGGAATTTGTTGGTGCATGTACCTTAAATTATTATATTTTAATCGCATGCATATTGATCTAATGTCTAATCTTAAAATGAACAATTAATATAGAAATTTACCTCAAAAATAACATTTATGGCGATAAAATAATCGGCATCGACAGAAACGGTAGCACTTTGGAATGTCTTTAAAGGCGTACCACCGGTTCGTGTAGCTGAAGCTGTGTCATTTCCTGTAATCCGTGGCGGATTGCTACTATCGCCCCGAAATGTCACAAACGGCGAACTTCTTGGAATGTTAATTTTTTCCCTACAATTTCACTTATTATCGTCACAATAATTTCACTACAACTAAAGTTTTATCCAAGTCATCATTTATCGAAGCCATAAAGTCATATCTAGTTTTTAATTTTATATATAAGTGAATCTTTATACCCCACCCAATGAAAAGAAATAAAATACTCAAAGGTAGCAAATATAGTTTTTAATTTTATATATAGTGAAGATGAAGATTTTATCCACTAAATGTAGTTAAATAACTTATCTTATACACGTGGAAGAGATTTTTTCGCAATCAATATACTTATAGTGGCCATAAAGTCACTTATTAAATTTTAAAGGTACAAATCCATGTTTGCTATGATAAAGAAGTTATTTGCTATCGACTTTGATTAAGTAACATGATATAGTGTAAAATCAGTTTATATAAAAGTTAGAACTTTTTTTAAATTATTAATCCGAGTTTTGAATTTAGAATATATATGTACCTCATTATAGTGTAATTAGTTTTTAGTGAAGGAGCATAAGGTGTTTCCACTACTATATATATAGAGTGATTAAGTTAATCTGATTGCGTAAATATTTTTTTTTATGTAATAATAGTGAGGTACGTACCTATAAACTCCGGGTTTGATGTCCAGTATGACCCTGCGCTTGTTATAGAGTGGAATGGTAGCAAGAGCTTCCTTAATAGTATTGAAATTGCTACTTCCGTCTTGACTCACGGTGATTATCATTTTGTTCATCTCCGCGTATATAAGTTTTGGATCAAAGCTGCTACTAACGGGAGGTGGAGGAACATGATGTTGTTTTTTGTGTTTGATTGATTCTTGCGTCCATTTCAAACTCGTTTCTCTGTTTCTACTATTGTAGTGTTTCACATTCAAAGATATCCATTCATCAAAATTCTCATTGTCTTTTTCTTGTGAAGTCAATGGCATGAGCAGCATGGAAAGGAAGAACAATAATAGAGTAAGTGTGGAAGCTAATGCCATTGAGTTAGAATGGGTAGGGTGGAAGAATAAATAACTATAATTATCCAATATTAAGCACTATCTTTGTGTTTGCATGATCATCACAATTCACATGCATATATATATATATACAAAAGAAAAAGGTATTGTGGTTACGTTGGGTTTGGTCTTATCTTGACCTACATTTACTAAACTGGCCATACGTGAAAACTTTGCTACTTAGAATTGGTATAACCTCGTTATGAAAGTGATTCATGTATACATAGCTTCACTGTTATACAAATGACTCATATATATCGTTTTCTTTTAAAAGTAAGAATATATATGAGTCACTTTTATAACGAGGGGTATATCAATTCTAAATGACAAAGTTAAAGGGTATACCATAAATAATTTAAAGGGTCAAATTTGTCCAGAACTATGTGAAATGTTGGAATGATTTGTGGTTTTCAATGCCAACAAATAAGTACACTAGGGCTGGAATGCTCGTATATGGATTACTTGATCGATTACCTGATTGCACTAGCTCCATAGTCATCTCTTTAGCATTCCGCCATTTCTACTTGTTAACACAGGAAATCTAACTGCGCTGATACTCTTTCGGTGATTCCAATGTGCACCAAAAATTATCGCATACTGCTGCTCCATTTGGTCGATTCGAATTTATATCCGAAATCTTAATTAATGGCCATTACTAAAGAGTAAAGTGGGTTAAAGTTGTGCCCTTATGTACAAATAACAGAATTTTAGCAATCGATGATGTCACGCATATTGTAATTAAGGATTTTTTTTCAACGGAAGGTAAATTTATAGTCACATGCTATTGTTGCAAATTAAAAAGGTATTTTTAATTTTTTTAAAATTAGTAAATATAAATTTGTTAATAAAAAACGTCATTTGTTAGATAATAATATATAACGAAACCTCTAAATTGCAAAACTGAAGTGATATAATTGCCTCTTTTTCCTTTTAAGAAAATGAATCTCTCATGGTATGCATGACATCACTGAGTGATAAGCTGTAATCGAAAAAAAAATAAAAAATTATTCAGAAGAAAAAAAAAGCTGTAATTATTAAAACGAAATCACCGACAGAGCAGCAATTTTGCAGGAAAAAAAAGGAAAATTACATTTCACTAACAATATAGTGAAGTGTCCTAGTGATTAACTATAAATTGAGTGGCCTTTATGTATTTTGTTAGAAAAAAATGACTATTTTAATTATGGGCTCATATATTTGACCCCAATTATTAATAGAAGATAAATATATTTCATTTCACATAATTAAGCTGCAAATTTAAATTTTATGACCCACAATCGTAGAAAAAACATTACATACACTTTATATGATTTAATTGTCTATAATTACAGGTTCTTTATACATCAACCAACTAATATATATATATATATGTGTATGTGTGTGTGTGTTGAATGCAACATTGTGACATCGAATTCATCAAGAACAATACTTTTACCTTTAAAATATAAATTTAAAGGTAGAAATCCACGAAAATTAAAATACAATACTATACTTAAATTCATAAGTACAAAAACGTAATAATATTAATAGTAAGAAGCTTAAAGGCTGAATTCTATTGTCGTAAATGAATACTCTCTCCTAATTCGTTTTTAATCTATTTAAAAAAGAATGAATCTTTTTTTTTCCAGCAATATTTAAATTTTAAACATTTCATGTGACATATTTAAGATTATAAAATTAAATGTCATTTTAATATATCTAATACAACTTCAATTTAAGACTACAAAATTAAAAAAATCTCTTTTATTTTTTATAAACTTTATAACGAGTTAAACTATAAATAAAATAAAGAAAGGGGAATTAAGTGGGTTGAGGTAGCTAGTGTGGAAAGCATTATAAGCAGTTTAGGGGTCCCTACCCTGTGAAATGTGTTGGGTCGCAGCTGTGGTGCAAACCCATGTTGCCAAAAGAATTGGAGATTTAATTAATAATTAGCTGTATTCCAATTCAACTTGTTTGTTCGTCTATACTATAGTGTTATATTGTTTATCCTATTCGAGTTCTACTGAAATTTGTTGAACTTATTCATTAACACAACAAAAAGAGATCAAAATTATCCTAATCTCTCATTTTTAGACTGATAATAAGTTAAAAGTGGTGTTTGCACTAGAAAAAAGTTTTTACTTTTTGGTTTGAATGTCTACTTTTCGTTTTTCGAAAGTCAAATAATTTAAGTTTTTATGCATAAAATTAAAATTATATAAAAAATACTATAAATCACAATAATTAATGAAATAAAAAATAAACTTATTTTAATTTTATAATCCGAAAAGTGCGACGTAATTTATTTTTGACTTTGCGAGAAGAAGTGAAAGGGTATACCCTACACATCAATTAATTAAGTAGTATACTATATGTTGTTATAATCAGAAAGAATGTTGATAGTGGAGAAGATCGAGGAGGACCTGCAAGCAACTTGGTGGAATTAGGACTACTGATAACTGACCCCATACCACATGTTCAACGATCAACAATATTGTCTAAAATGTCAAACTTTCTATCTCGATAGCTCGATTCATTGATTATTTGAATTTTTAGTTATTGGCGAGAGTTTGAGAACAATATCCCAATTTCATCACAGACCCTCTTTTTTCCGGTTAAAGGGATATTATTACTGTAGATATTGGCACTATTATGATCAATGAGTTTATCTAAATATCCCTCCATACGTCAACAAGAAAGCACATTGACAAAGAGAATCTTGGTTATTCACCTTTCTTAGCGAGGTTAGTTACAGAAAGTTCAAAAAGTACAAACTCGATAATATTAATTTTATATTTATAATTTATTTAAGTCATATACATAAGTAACGCGTTTATATATATAAAAAAACTGTTGTAATAGTTCATCAATAATAATAGAATTATAGGCAAAAATAATTAGTTGTGCTCCAACTTTTCCCATTCAACGCCCTGTTTTATTTCATATATTTTTCGTTTTATTTGAAATTATGAAGTTGGAGTTTGTTTGGTTACACTTTTTACGATATGTCTTTCATTATAATTTTTTTATATATCTTTAAAGTATTTTTGAATTATCAATTACTATGACTTATTCTACTTTTAAAGTAATTTTTAAATATGTATATATTAAATTTAAATATCAGTCATATTCGATGATTGCTATCTTTTAAAAATTAGAAGTATAAACCACATCTAGTAAAAGTACATTGAAATTCAAAATATTTTTCTGCGCAATGTATGACAAACTTTTAATAATTAAGTGAATACAAAATATAGAAGTAAGATACCAAAAATGATAAAACAAAGCCAAAAGACAGTAGTATTATCACGCTTAAATTTAATTTCGAGAAGCACACATATTTGAATGTATTGTATATAATCGATATCTTCTCCGGCTGAAACCAAAAGGCAAAATATACTAGAGGAAAATTCACAAAATATCCCTTTACATTCTTTTAATTGAAAAATATTGGTACTTATAAATTTTGCTTAAATTTAATAAATTTTATCCTATTGTTACTTATAGAAATTAAAAGGGGAAATTTCCTCTATACAAGTATATAGGACCATATTTTGATATAGAATATAGCAGTATTTTTCAATTTATCAAAACCAACGATATTTTTCTAACAAAATATATACAAAGTCGATTTCTCCCTTAGTTACTATTGTAGTGATTAGCATAAATCTTTGAAGATTTCAGTTTTATAAAGATTCTATGTGATTCAGATTAATATGAAAGAATTAATGCTTATATACTTTGTGATAAAAAGACTTACGTCTATGGTACGATTTTCTCCGTATTTAACCTTACTCATTAAACATTATGTGACGATCCGTCAAATTATCACACCACATAAATTTCATGTAAGTGCCACATGGCACAAAGTTGTCAATGTTGATTGCTTACATAGGAGAAAGACTTGTTCTTGTGGATGATACTAGAGAAATATAGATGTTTTCCTCGAAAGATTATAGAATTACATAGAAGGTTTTTGAAATATTCTAAGATTGTAGAATATTTTAGAGAAGGGAATTTGAAAATATATACAAACTTACATATTATTATTTACATATTAGTCCCTAAGTTAGTAGTATACTAGTATAAATAGAAGGGTAACCCTCTGTAAAATCATCAAATAAAAATCAAGACAAGTTAATACAATTCTTCCTCACAATATTGTCCTCTTTCTTCCATTCTCTTAGCGATTCTTAGAATTTTATGCTAAATTACATAGCAAAATCGTGAACAAATAGTAAAAGAACGTGAGTAAATTTTCAAGTACCATACATAGTAAAAGAATTAAGTTCAATTATCAGTCAATACCACATTAACCAACATAGAAGTAATATAATGATCCACATATAGTTCCTAGAAAAAGTGAATATTTTTCAATTTTTTGTTTGATATTTTTTCTAAAAGAAATTAATTTTATAAAAAACTTTTTTAAGTGTATTTGATCTATCTAGGGACGAGTGAAATGTTACGATATCAAATTCATCTTAATAAAAAGTTTAGACTTAATATTAGCATATTCTTATACATATAAACTCACTTTCTTTATCAAAAGGATTAAGCACAAATGAGTGAGTTCTGTATCAATTAATCAACACAATTAAATAACTTTTAAAAAATAAAATTGAATCGAATGATTTGACAATTAATTAAAGCGTGTGGCCATGAGTCTATCAAGTCATTTCATACTAAACTGTTTCTTAAGCACTCCATTGTCCATGCAATTACAAAAGAATCCTATGGCCACTACTTTATTGATGAAATATCATCATAGACAGTACTCCATATTTTAATTAAGAATAATTAGTAAAAAAAATTAACATATTTATTAAAAATAAATATAATTTAAAACAAGAGAAAGTTATATAAATTTCACTAATTTATATTCTAATTACTAGGATTTACGATAGTTTTGAATATTATTACATGTATCATATTGTTCTTTATATACATATATCTTCGACGAATTTAAAAAGTAAGATACATATTTTATTAGTTTGAATAAAATACATTATAATTGATTTCCTTAATTAAAGAAGTTATAACAATTCTAACTGATTTCTAGTATCCCACATATCAACTATATCAAA